CACAATGAGGACTTTTTGTTCATGATTAGATCAAAATACAGTGGAGTCCTTTTCTCCTATAGTCAGTTAGCTGCTCTTTTGTTGAAAGAGTAGCCTTGCTCCTTCAAATGATGAGCAATGCTCATCATTTTCATTAGAATGATTCTGACTTGCATTTGGTAAGGGAGACCATGAGCAGGAACAAGGTGACAAACCAGAATTTCATTCTTTTTCTGGATGAAGTAAATTCTACTGTACTTGTATACCACATTTTGTTTATCTCATATATCTCCTGGGGGACACTGGATTGTCTCACCTTTCAGTTATTGTAAATATCCCTGTGATGCACACTGATATGCGAGTATCTATTTGACTCCTTACTTTCTCTTCTTTGGGGTATATATTCAGGAGTGGATTTTCTGGATTACATGGTAACTCCACATTTACTTTTTGAAGAAAACAAAATTTCCCAAGAAAAATATTTTTTAAGCAAATTGTCTTTTGATAACTTTCTAAGACTTTCAACAAGGTTTTCCCAGAATCAACAACCCTCTCTACTTTTGCTCTTGTATTTCATCTATTTCTAGATCATTTAATACATTTGTATACTTCCAATATCAAGCCTGACTGTCATAAGCAGGTTTAGAAATATATATGTAATTGATACTGGCTCACACACAACTCTGCAGGTAAAACCAGGGGTACATGGAATATACCAGAAGACAGCTTACTAGCAGTGAACCCAGCAAGCTGTGAGCATCAGCCAATTTATGCTATAGAACAGACAGGCAACACTGGTCAATAGCCAGTTAAGTGGAGTCCAGTTAAGAAAACTTCTGCTCAACAAAATTATCTTTTTCATGATGAGATGCATTAAAGGGCTTTACAAGCAATGGCGGCTTTAGGAAAAACAACAGCTGCACACCCGTGACTGCTAATATTCATGCACTTGTTGGCATGAAACTTGTTGGCAGACTGAAACAAGGCAGATATCAAAGGCTAAAACAGAATGGGAAGTTGACTGACCAGGTCATTTTTGTGTAAACTCCTGAATTTAAGAAAGTACTAATTGATAGTATTTAACAGGTTGATTTTCTTTCCTTGCAGTTTAATTTAGTGTGGGAGGTCATACCTATTCTTAAAAAGAAGATGCCTTTTAAGTTAAGATTTGAGACACCAATGGGCCTCCCCTGGGGGCGCAGGCGGCTGAATGCAGCGCTGTGAAGCTGTCCGCAGCCTCTGTAGCGCAGGTTAGATCCCTACCAGCGGGGGAGAATCCCACATGGCGCAGCAGACCTCTCTTGTCTCGCCCGCTGCTCCCCTCAGCAGTGTATTTCGTCAGTCTGCCTGTTCTGTTCCCTGCTCTGCCTCTAGTGAATCCTCTTACCCTCCCGTGCATCTGGCCTGTATACCCTGGCTCTTGTGTAAATAAATAAATAAATAAATAAATAAATAATCTTAAAAAATTTAAAAAAAATAAAAGATTTGAGACACCAAGATGAGGTTAGAAGGTTTTCTAGTCAGTTCTGAAGTGAAATCATGAAGCTGTGGGAGGAGTACTTTTATGTAGCTTTCATCTTTGTTAGAGACCCAAATGATTAAAAGTTTGGGAAACCGCCTTTCTAAACATAGGCTAAGGGACCTGGGTTTATTTAGCTTAGAGAGGGAGAGCGAGCATGCTGAGGGGGACTTAATAGTAGTCTCCAAGAGTATGAGGGATAGTCTATGAGTGATGGAAAGCAGCTGTTTCCTCTTCCCAGTGAGAGCTGGTTAAGATAGAATGGAGTTAAATTGCAACAAGTGGGTTTAAGAACTCCTTGGTCATAAAGTGGAGACAGCAAATCCACAGACAAGACCAAAGTCACTTCTCTTTTTCAGAATTATGTGGCTAACTAGCTGGTGTAAATTGACCTGTTCTTGAACTAGTGAAAAGATATCGATGACCTTTCATCCATGTGAGGATCTGAAATTGCCCATCCTTAGAATTTACCAGTGTTCTGTGCTGAGGCAAAATTTATCTTGTAATGAGATTTTAAACAGAAAAAAGTTTCAGAGCTTTGTTCCTTTTGGCTGGTTTTCAAAACTTGATAATCTAGGCTTACTTCTCTATGAGGTGAAGAATATCTATAGATTTTTCATTTTGTATTTTTTTTTTTTTGCCACTCGTTCAATGTGGTCATGATTTTTTAAAAAAGAATTCTGTGTCTTCAGGAACACTGTTTATCTGTCTGTCCGTATCTCTCTCCTATCTATCTAGCATCTATCTATTTTTCTAGCTATCTGTCCACCAGTCTATCAATCTATCTACCTGCCTATCTATCTATCATGCCTTCTATATATCTATATAAAACTCATAAACATCATAAGCATCTCATAAACCATAAATACATACATATATATAACTAATTCAATAATGAAAGTAATGTTTTGTTGTAGACAGTGTGTCTAAACACTAGATATGGAGATGAATAATATACTGTGCTAATTAGAAGCATGGCAAAATATATAAAAGATTATGAAGTAATGCATTATAAGAGGTCATCTGGGGGAAGGAGGTTAAAGACAAGCTTGAGTTCTGTGTATTGCTGGATTTTAGTCAATGAGGCAGATGGAAATGCTTGAAGCATCTTCTTAACCTCTTTTTTATCATTGCCATCTTACGTGAGGTTAACTACATCATTTATTCTGAATTGGATACATGGATACATGGTATCTTACCTGCCCAACTGGGAGTAATTTCTGGGCAATGTTGGCCTGCTGTCAAATTATGACTTTAAATTTATAGGCCAATGTCAGCATTGACTCTGTGTGCATTCCACGCGCTAAATTTTTGTCTTGTCCCAACATTTATTATAATCTTATTAAAAATCCTGGCTTCTGTCTTCTAATGTTTTCTGTCATATGGAAAGAAGTGAGGGGAGCTCCTGATCCAAACCTAAGTCCCCCACTCTTTTGACCTTCAAAATACCTCACCAAAGTGGGACAATGACCTGGGATTGCTTTGACTCTGTGACGTGCTTGCTGCAAGGCTCTTAATGTCCCCACATTTCTGTTTCCTTAATCTACCTTACAGGATTGTGTAAGGCTTAAATGAAAGGAAATCATGTGTGCCAGGCCCCCAGGCCAGGGAGCCCAGCCCTCAAATCAAGTCCATGGCTTTCTTTCATGCATAAGGACCCTCTCCTGCATATGTGGAATTATACTCACCTTTAGATCCTCTCCACCAAGTGGGGCTTAGTGGACCTTAAGGGCAGGTCCATAGAGTAAGGTCTAAGTCTAGAATTCATAAGGGCACCCAGAGTCCAGTCATAGGAATCTCTTTTCCTTTTCTAAACTTGCTTAATCCAGGAAAAATGTCTGCTACAACACCAAACATTCAGGGAAGAATTTGTTGCCAAATGACCTGAAACAAATCATGTTCAGACCTGGAAGGAAAGTGCATTTTTTTTTTAAAGGTTTATTTATTTATTTATACAAGAACCGGGGTACAGGCCAGATGCGTGGGAGGGTGAGAGGATTCACCAGAGACAGAGTGGGGAACAGAACAGGAAGACTGACGAAATGCACTGCTGAGGGGAGCAGCGGGCAAGACAGGAGAGGTCTGTCGTGCCATGTGGAACCCTCGCCTGCCGGCCAGGATCAAACCGGCACTGCAGAGGCTGCGGACAGCTTCACAGCTTGGCGCTCAACCATCTGCGCCACCAGGGGAGGCCCATAAAGTGCATTTTAAAATCAGTGGAAGATGATGCATTTTTGTTTCTCAAGCTTTAAAGGATAGTAAATGCATCTATAGATATCCAGATAGTAACACTGAGTAGATATTGATTACATTGAGCTCTGTGCTCTGAAATGATATCTGACTGCAGACATGACCCCTGCCCTCACGAAGCTATGAACTTACTGGAGAAACAAAACCTGTGCATATGAAATGGCCACGGAGGAGTTAAACTCAGTGTCATAAAGGCAATATAAAACTGCAGGGCTTGAACCCCTGTAGACCGAGGAAAAGCTGGCTGAGGGTTTGGGTAGGGATTTGATATAGCTCAGGGAACTTAGGAACGTGTTTTGATTCATTCCTAAAACACAACCACTGAAAGACAGAATTTTTTAAAGCCACCTAAACCGTTCCTTACCTATAGCAACCCGAGTACATACTGAGTTGCTCTTACTTGAAATAAATGCATCATTCTGAGGTCTCAGCGTCCAGGCTGATTTGCTTTCAGACTCTCACTGTGGACTGTGCCAGACAGCTCCTGCCTACATTCATTCTTAGTCCACGGGATATGGAATATCTTTATAAATCACAACAAGTCACATTGAGGGTAAAAATCCCAGCTAGAGACTTCCCTCAAAAGTGGAAGCAGGCCACATATTTTCATGTCAGTGGATTTAGGAACCAGGGTTAAGACCTTTCTTTATTAGAAGCAGATTTATAATTCAAGGCCTTCAGAGGGTGTCTTTTAATGGTTGTGTTTTAGGAACCAATCAAACCACGTTCTAAGTTCCCTGAGCTATATCCAATCCCTGCCCAAACCCTCAGCCAGCTTTTCCTCGGTCTACAGGGGTTCAAGCCCTGCCTTCAGAACTTGGATCCTTGGAACTGGATCCCCTCCATTTCCCTTCTCTCCACCTCCCTGTTCCCCAAATGAAATAAATAGGGAAGCAGAACAACAAGACAATTAACTTAATAGCATAGAATTTATGGCTGACATCTTGCAATGTAAATTGCAAGCTTATGTCAGCAAAGTAGAATAATTACTGTCACTTTCTTTTAGACACTTGGTTTTATGGTTGCTGTCACCTTTGTCATAACATACAGCTGATTTAGTAGCCCTTTTTTTCATGCCAAATGGCCTGATGTTGTGTTTTTACGTTTGTGGTCGCTGTTGTGATGACAATACATGGATCCATGAGCGTGGAGCTAAATTTAGATGATGAGTTGGAATACTGTTGATGATTTTGGTTTAGTCATGCTGTCGGTATGCCAGCTGAGCCTTTCCTCTTGCTATCTCCTGCTCTAGATTCTCACAACCAAAGATTTAACATCTCCAACCCAGCGCTACATTGACAGCAAAGTTGTGAAAACGAGAGCGGAGGGCGAATGGCTGTCCTTTGATGTCACGGATGCTGTTCATGAGTGGCTCCACCACAAAGGTTACAACCACCCTGTTTCCCCCCCTAGATGCTCAATGACCCTAAGTTATTGTGAGTTGATTGCACATGAATGACCTCCTTGACTTAATGTTTTCCAGACAGGAATCGCGGATTTAAAATAAGCTTACACTGTCCCTGCTGCACCTTTGTACCATCTAATAATTACATCATCCCAAATAAAAGTGAAGAACTAGAAGCAAGATTTGCAGGTAAAGGAAACTTGATCTTGTGAGGTTGGGGAGGGAAGGGACTTTGTTGATAACTCATGGGAGGGGGATGAAGTTTGTTTTTATGTGAAATTGCAGTTGTCTGGTGAGAGCTGGGCAGTTTCATTGGTTGGGCAAATATATGGCTGGGGAGACAGATGGAGGCAGGAAGGCTTGGAGGGAAAGGATTGGTTCCCACTGTACGTGACCCACTGCCCAGTGATGCTTTGATAACTGATTCACCAACCCTCCAAACTATTAAATATTTAGTTAAACATTTTATTCCATCTAAGCAAACCAGCTTTCCATCTATGCTATTATTATTATTTCCATGTATGCTATTATTCTGGAGGAAGAAGGTAGTGTGCATTCAAGGAAATCGATTGATAGTCCCGCAAACCTAATGTCAGTACCGCAGCTGTGTTTCACAGTAGGCAGTACCCCTTGGCATATGGCTTCTGTAACTAACATTATAGATACCAGAACACTCCACCCTTCCTATCCAATGCCTAATATTACAAGTGGTTTTCATATCAGACTTTTAGAGGAGTTGATAAACCTGCAGCCAGTTTTAACTTTCCCCATCTTCTTTAACATTTAGTGAACCATCCCAGAGTCAGGGAGAATGAGGAGATGCCCAAGATTCAAGTCACTCAGAAGACTAGAAAACAAGTTGTTAAATGATGGGAGGAGAGAGGGGAGTTGCTACCAGGTACAGGTCAGAGAGCTGATTTCCCTCACTAGCTAGCACCCCCAGAGATCCCCATCCACTGGCAGAGGGCTACGGTGGCTCTTCCTTATGGAAAAGCATCCCAGGAGCCCAGAGAGTTTTTTTAGTCTATAAACTCGTCATGATTCTCCAGAGGGTGGAGGTTCGATGCTTAAACTGGCAGCCTCCTGAGTGTGCTTAGGGAGCGTGAGTGTCTACATCTCTGGTGGAATCAGGAAAGTGTTGAGGATGCCATAAAATAAATGAAAAAGCCCTTTCTTCACATCTCCCCAAAACAGCATTAGGTAAGGGTGACTTCAGTTTCACTGGAACCGAATTCACTGCAATTTAGTGTTAAGTCTCAGCTTATGTTCCTGAGGAAAGTTTTTTGAGTTTAGTTGTGATCCTAAGAGAGAGAACCAGTGGTGATGGGGTGCGTTATTACTGTGAGTTCCGCATTGAGGGGTTAAGCAGCCGAAAGGGAGGATGGACTAAGATAAACTGCCCAGACTATCCTTGGAGTCCAGGGCTGAGCCTCCTTCTGTAGTGATTTTCCCAACCAGGAGCCCTCTCTTGGACACTGAGCTGGCTTCCGTCAAGACCCCCCTTTACCGGTGTCAGTTGTCCCCTGGGGTATACCTGTTGTGCCATTGCTATGTCTGTGGGGATGACCACAGCCAGCTGCTGCTGCTGCTGCTGCTGCGATCATCTCTGCTGCTTGTGACACTAGACAAAGGGAAAAAATATGGCTGATGATATTTGATGAAGGTCAAGCTAAATGTTTATTACCCGAATGCATTTTTTCAAGGTATTGATGGCACCTCCACACATACCAGTGGTGATCAGAAAACTATAAAGTCCACTAGGAAAAAAAACAGTGGGAAGAGCCCACATCTCCTGCTAATGTTGTTGCCCTCCTACAGACTTGAGTCACAACAGACCAACCGGCGGAAGAAGCGTGCTTTGGATGCAGCCTATTGCTTTAGGTAAAGCCAATAAAACTAAACAAAGTGATTACATTATTTATCTCATACTGCCTTTGTCCTTTCTTTCATTCCGAGTTGACCCCAACACACTCTTTACCGAAGGCCAGGTAGAATACAGTAGAGCTGTAGTGTCTCCTCACATCATCCTTTTAGGGGCTCACAACACTCATGCCTGGGCTGCACCCATCAGCTCTTTATCATCAAACCATGTATGAGAGGAGAAGACTAGCCCTCTGGTTTTCCCCCAAATCTGAAGCTCTTTGAGACTGAAGAAAAAAAATGAGTTGAGTGAGTTGTCTGCTCTGTAGAGCAAATCTCAGCCTATTTGAGGTGCCTGAAGATGGCTCCCTAATCTGGAAGCCTCACCATTGATATGGAGCCTTCATCCTCACTGTGGAGTGAAACCGTGGTCAAATCTCATTCTCAGTAACTGAGATGACAGAGACAGCAGAGGAATGCTCTTTGTCATGCCTTTAGCCATAGGATATGAAAGAAATGGGGGCCAGAGGAATTTATTTCCCATTTGTGGTAGTTCCTGGAAGGAGAGTGTGAATGTCCACCTTTGATTCCTTATCCAGACTGCTAAGAGGAAGGCCCTTTTTTTCTTAAGAAAATTATTTTTATTTAAGTCACCTTATGTTATACCATTATGTAAGGTTTGGGTGTGTATCATTATAAATCAACCCCTGTATATGCTACATTAATTAAGTTCAAGACTGCAAATTCAATTCCATCCTTCTCTCTACAGTTGTTCCCTTTTACATGATTTACTCACCACCCCCCCAACTTCCTTTCTGTCAACCACCACTTTGCTCTTATAGTCTAAAAGTTTATTATTGTTTTATCTAGTTCATTCACTTGTTTTATTTCTTTGTGAATCACCTATGAGTGTAATGAGGCATTTGTCATTCTCTGTTGGACTCACTTCACTAAGCATAATAAGTTCATCCATGTTATTGCAGATGGCAGGACCCCATCTTTTTTTATTATAGCTGAGCAACATTTGACTGTGTTTAAATACTACATTTATCCATTCATCTGTTGGTAGGTGCTTAGGTTGTTTCCAATTCTTCTGCAATGCTATGAAGAACATGGGGATGCATAAATCTCTTCATATTAGTGTTCTTATATTCTTCGCATAAATACCCAGAAGGGGGCTAACTGGATGGTGTAGAATTTCCTTTTTTAGATATTTGACGGCTCGCCATACTGCTTCCCATCATGGCTGTACTAATTTACATTCCCACCAACAGTGCAGAAAGGCTCCCTTCTCTCATACTCTCTCTAGCACTTCTTGTTTCTTGTCTGGATAATAGCCATTCTCATTGTTTTAATTTGAATTGCCCTTGGTGTAAGTGAGGATGAACATCTTTTCACGTGCCTGTTGGCCATCTGTTCATCTTTATTTGGGAGTTATGGGCCAGTCAAATGTCCTCACTGATAAAGTGCCCAAAATGTCAGAATTTCCGAGTAAAATGGCATGTTTTGGTGACCAGAGCCAGTGTTTGCACTAAGCAAGACTCCATGTTTCTTTATCTCTTGTTCATTCCTAGAACAAGGAATGTGATATAAATAAATGATTTTGAAAGGATAATGCCTTAGATGGCTCTTTGGAAATAGCTCTTGTACTTCATTCATTTTACATTTGAAAGGGTGATAGAACTGAAATGACAAACTGCAGTGTTGGGTGAAAATTGTTTGACCTCTGCCAACCACTTCTCTGCTTAAACCTGTCTGTTCACATGAAAGGTTTGACTTTCAAGGTCATGGACAAAGGTATCCAGTAGAGAACTCATAAAGGAGAGCAGTCCAACAAATTACCATCATTCTACTTCGCGAAAGTGTCTGCAGATTAAGATAAAGCCACTAAAAACTCAGCCTGTGATGCTTGCTTATTGGATGCCTGTTGAATAAATGAATGAATCTTTTTTTTTTTACCCCCTCGTTTGGGATGAGAGGCAGGGAGGAGAAACCCAGTTTTAAAATCTCCATTGCTTTTTTTTTTTTTTTAAACAGAAATGTGCAAGATAATTGCTGCCTGCGTCCTCTTTACATTGATTTCAAGAGGGATCTTGGGTGGAAATGGATACATGAACCTAAAGGGTACAATGCTAACTTCTGTGCTGGAGCCTGCCCATATTTATGGAGTTCAGACACTCAACACAGCAGAGTAAGTACTGGCGGATCTGCCTCTTCTACCTGCTGAGAGTATTTCCAAATGAACTCCATTTACCCTGGTGCCCTCTCATCATTGCACGTGAATGGGTGCTGAAGAAATCCTTTTGAATGACAGGAAGAATGCAGGCTATCTGTGAAATCACCTACAGTTTCAACAGTAGGTCCTGCCTTCCCAGTGAGATTACAAGCAACTTGACAGTTGGTTTAAGTTTGTCTTTGTTTTAGATATCTTAACAACTGTATATATAAAAAGATAACTAGAAAAAAAATCTTTTTGAAATCAGTATAACACTTAGTGTCATGTGTCATTAAGATAGGAGGGGACCCAGACCACCAACTTAAAAAGGATCCATTATCACATCAGGGAATGTCGTGTTAGAAAGAACAAGGGATCAGTGGGTGCTTTGTCACAGAAGACCATTAGTGCTTAGCAATGAGGGACTCACTTCACTTCTCCAAAGCTCTATTTCTTATCTGTAAGAAGGTCTATATTTAAAACTGTCTTTAAAATAATAATGTCACACTTGAGAGTTGATATGAAGAACAAAGAGATGATGTATGTGAGCATGATTTGAAAATTATCTTTAAGTCTTTCTGAACAGAACCCAAAGTAGATGCAGCTGAAGATTTTATTACATTACTTCTGTGAGGCTGGAAGCTTATGGCCAGGCCTCTGTTTGCATTGTCTACTGAGTTTAATTCTTGAAACGTGGCTGCATGTTAAGATTCTGCCACTGTAAATCAGCTTATTAAAGAGGTATTAGAAGCATTGCCTTCCCTGCAGGGTAGGAAAATGAACCTGTTGCCAGAAAGATCACCTCACACCTTCACCCGAATTCAAAGTCTGGGGGGCTACCGATTATTTTAGACAGCCTGTGTTGTAAAATTCCTCTTTAATTCCTATGCAAAATCATGCGTGAGTGGGACACAAAGTAGATTTCTACATAAATATGCCCACAAGTGCTGGACATTGCATGGATGCACAGGGCCCCCCTCTTCCCTTGCTGTTTTCCAGCTCCCCTGGAGGTTTTAGCCCTGGGGGCTCATCACATGCTCAGCCACGTGAGGGAAACTTGCTCGTGCCTGTCCCTTTGTCTGAGTTCTCTGGCCAGGCTGCTTCCTCAGGGCTGTGGCCACAGCGGCTGTGATGTGGGCCCAGCCCAGGTGCCAAGTAGAAACATAATTCTCCTCCCTGCTACACAGAGGGCGTGTGTGAAGGCTGAGGGCACTCTTGTTTTTCAAGGACAGAGGAAGAATAACTGTCATGGTCACACATATGTGGTTTGGACAGTTCCCCAAGCAGCCAGAGGGAGCTTAATAAAGTAGTCAGTGTGGCTGACTTGAACTGGTCTTCTGTCTTGGGCTGAAAAAATGGCCGTGAATCTCGAGGAAAAGGTCATTTGCTGTTTGACTAGCCCATGAATGGCATCCTTGGAAATGTCTCTTCATCATCAGTGGGGAGCCTACTGCCTGCCTGCTGTGGGTGAAAGGCTCCCCTTTGCTAGAGATGGAGGCTAAGTTCTGCCCACTGTAGTTTCTCTCCAGGCTGCTTTTGAACCCTTCACTCTCCCAGCAGGGCCCTGCCACTGCCCTCAGGGATGCTACAGTAACAGTATGCAAAAGCTAGTGTAGAAATGACACCAACCGCTAAGAGGACTGGGGTCTCCAGGGCCTGGGGAATATATGCAGGAAGCTCTGACTGAAGTAAAGCCAGTGGGGGTGGCTGGAAAAAGCTGGCAAATGAGTAGTTTTGCCCAATCAAACTTTTACGGAAGCATTTGTTCAAGATGGACGATAAAGGGATTCTGTGGGAAATGAATTCAAGGATGGCTGAGGAACTCATTACCAATTTGACTATAATTCAGAATTAAGAAAAGGACAAGGGCAACCAAAAATAATCCAGATGGCTGAATTGCCATTATGACTGATAACAATAGAGGGTGGGTCTTTAAAAAATAAAAGAGTGACCCCTTTTTTTTTCTCTTACTCATTTGTGATGCTGTCTTTCCCCTCTTTGTCCTCCCAGGTCCTCAGTTTATACAACACCATCAATCCAGAAGCTTCTGCTTCTCCATGCTGTGTGTCTCAGGATTTAGAACCGCTCACCATTCTTTACTACATCGGCAAAACACCCAAGATCGAACAGCTTTCTAATATGATCGTGAAGTCTTGCAAATGCAGTTAAGACTCTCCGAAGATAGGCCATTCATGACAACGACAACGAGGACAACATTTGTGACAAGAAAACACGAGGGAGGCTTGCTTCGGCAGCGTCCAACGACATCCGAAAAAGCGGTACTACGTCCAACCCTTGGGAAGTTTGTGTTCTGTTTGTTAAAACTGGCATCTGAAACAAACAAAAAGAAGTGGAAGGTTTTATTCAGCATTTCACCTACTCGGTCAGTGAGAGAGATGAGAAGCCAAACCTTTTTTTTTTTTTTTTTTAAGAAAAAAAAAATAAACACTGGAAGAATTTGTTAGTGTTAATTATGTGAAAGAAAACAAACAAACAAACAAAAACAGGAAAATCCCGTGAAGTGGAGTTGCTGTACATACTGTCTCTGTACCATGCCTCACTTGATTTTTCTGTAACGCTATGCAATAGCCTCCTGCCCGTTCCTCCTCTTTGAGTTAACAGTGAGTTATTTATTGTGTGTCCCTATAGAATGAACATTTCATGGCCCTTGGAAAATAAAACAGGTGTATAAAATGGAGACCAAATACTTTGCCAGGAGCTCATGGATGGCTTACAGAGCTTGAACTCAAATGAGCCAGGGAAAAAGGGGGACAAAATCCCCCGTGAGTTCTAGATGACCAAGCAAGTTTGCTTATGATAAAGACCCCATACCAAGCGCCTAAGGAAGCTTCTTGTAAGATTCAAAACTGAAAAGCCTGTTAATAAAGGAAACTTTCAGTCAGAATAAGTCTGTAAGGCTTTATTTTTTTTTCTTTTTTCACTGTAAATGACTCTTTGTCAGTTTAGTACACCAGTGAAATGTTGAGACGATTTTTGCAACGTCCTGGTCCAACCTCAGACGTTCGAGTATTACTATAGAGCTGGGCTAGAGGGTTTTTTGTTTGTTTCGGTATATGTAACCATACCTATATTATTGCAATAGAAGAGCCTAGAAGCCAGTATAAATGGAAACACGTCTGCAGATCTCTTTTGCAAACTATTAAATCAAAACACTAACTACTTCACGTGTAATGTGTAAATTTTTACCATATTTTTAATATTCTGTAAGAATGTCAACCAGGATTTGGCTTGGGCTTCAAGTTGGGCTCTTTTTAATGATCACTCTGAATTGGGTGTTTCCTGTAGCTGGCCAGGACTTTTGAGTAAAGCCCCTGTATTTTGACTTGCACTACAAATCATGTTTTATAGTATTTGTTCCAATATGCTTTGTTAAAGGATCGATTTGAGTTCAGTAGTGTTCTTCCGTCTTCCAGGCAGCGTTGCTCGTTAATGCAGATGTTAAAGTTTCAATTTTGGAAAAAACTAGAGATAAGTACGTAATGGAGATGAACTGTTTTTGTTTTAGCCAGTTTTTAAAGATCTGACTGAAACCCCAAATCTTGGGGACTGAGTTAAGCAAGTTTTCTCTAACTTGGTTTAATCAGTGTTTTCACAGAATCTGTTGTTAATTAAGAACAGACAGTTCATAAGGAAGTTCTTTTAGTGTCCAGGGGGAAAGATTTACATTTGAGTTGAATTTTTAAAGGGAGGCTAAAGTCCAGGTCAGCATAGGTGATTTAGATTTCTTTACTGAAATTAAGGTTTTTTACAGATGTTCTTTGAAGGTTGAAAAGGCCCAAGTCAATAACTCCCTTGATCAAAAAACTCTTTTCCCTGAATGAGATTTATCTATAATCTGAGGCTAGAATTTACCTTGCTTTAATCAATGATTTGCCACATGATTGCAGAGAAGGTCATCTGACACCAGGGTCTGTAGGATATGTCAGTTTGTCAGCTGCTTCTTATTTAACTTTAAGATAAAAATAAATCGGTCAAATGGGACTCTTTGCAGCTTCACCTACAGAGCAGCACAGTGAGGTGTGTATCCAAAGTGAAGCTGTTGGGTAGAGTATACTTTAATTTTGTGGAATTTCCTGACCATTAATAAAAAATGATGAATTGGATTTATGAGTTTAAAAACTGGAAAAGCAAGAGATGGGCTGGATGGCACAACCTGTTTTTTTTTTGTTTTTTTTTTTTTTGGATATAATCCAATCCCAGATTTGAGTGTGTTGCTTTTGATTTCCTCTTCCACTTTTCCATTCATTCTATGTAAATCACTTTTATTTCTGCAGGTATTTTCCTCTCAGAATGACATTTTGTTTTGTATTATTTTGTCTTTTCTCATGAATGCACTGATAATATTTTAAATGCTCTATTTTAAGATCTCTTGAATCTTTTTTTTTTTTTTTTTTTAGTTTGGGGGTTCTCTAATGTCTGTATTTCCCATAAGTAAATATTGCTGAGGGAGGGGGAGGGGCTGGGGGAAATGTTAGCAGGGGGTGGGGCAGCAGTTTTTATGTGTTAAGCAGCAGTACCTTTTTACAGTTGGCATGGTTAAAAAATTGGAATATAAGAATAGTCGTTTTGTATTTTGATGGCTGATTACGCTGTATTTTAACACAATGTGTGTCTGTTTTTGTGGTGCTCTAGTGCTCAATAAATTATTTCAATTACATATTGAAGTGTTTTTCCTACCATGGCTGGTGTCATCACTGAGATTAGCACACAATTCTGATGCGATGAGCTGGAAAAGTCACCATCTTGAAGATTATGCTTTTTTTCTTGAGAATAGTCCCTTCAGAAAGGTCATGCTTTCTAGCTCGAGAGCCAGGGCATCGCTCATGGACTAAAGAAAATGCTGTGCATGCAGCCTTTTTCTTTCTTGTTTCTTGCCATTGGGTAATTTTTGGAGATTTAGTTTCCCTCCAGCTTGACTGTCTACCCGAAAAAATGCAGAGAGATGTTTGGACTATGCTTTGGCTTTCTGGTTCCATGTTCTGCCAGCCCCAGGGCCAAAAGAACTGGTCTAGACAGTATCCCCTGGGGTCCCATAATTTGGAGAGTGGCTGGGCCAGCCAATATAACAAGAGCCACGTGCTCTTTGGGGTTGGTCTTTGGGAGCACTGCTCTCTGTTTCACCCACACCACTGTACCAAAAACCCCCTCTTCCCTCAGGTTTCCTTGGCTGTTCTGGACAAGACCAGACTTTGCAAGTGAGTTGCCAGTCTCTTAACAAACAGACTAATAAAAAAGGAGCTGTGGTTTAATCTGGTTGTCTTGCTTTACCCAATGAAAAAACTAGATCGTGGCTGGTGTGTTATCTAAACATCATTGACACCAAATATTTGTGCAAGTATTAAGGTGGAATAGAAATATGGTTCCCTCTTCTGTAATCTGTGTTTGATCTCTTATACTCAACCCATTAAGAGGGGGAACGTTTAACTTTAAAATAATTAGTTCCTGCTTTTCTGCAGAGGTCTAGCCCCAGCTTCTCACTGCAGCACACATCACCTTCCTGTCATGAGTAAGAATAGGAGGATATCGCAGGATAGTGAAAAAGGCACCTAACAGCTGCATCAGCTTTGGCAAATTTGCCAGTCACTCTGAACCACTACATGTCATTTTTCTGTCCTTGTTTTTTGCTAAGTGAATGGGCATGGGAGGACTTTGCTTGGTGTTTGGCCTTGGTGTTGATGATTAGTGAACACTAGTCTTCATGCTCTTCCCCAAACTGTTCTGTCTCAGGTTTCTGGCATTCTGCTTGTCATTCACTCTGTAACCCAGGCCCATGCTTCTCCATCTCGATACTGACCATGTAAACCCTTCAGATCTTTATCTTATAGAAGAATCAAGTAGTCAGTTATACCTAAGAAGATTCTGTGACTCTGTTAACCTTTGGGTCCATGACCAGAAATTGTTTCAAACAGAGGGCAAAAGTTCACATTTAGCTTGTTTTTAAGTCTACCAACAAAAATCTCAAAGGAAGACCAAGTGGCTAGTTGGGTGACCTATTTCCTGAGGTGATGATAAAGGGAACTATGGTTTTCTGAGTACCTACCAGGCCAACTACTTAGCCTTATACTCCACTGGAGGCTACAGAGGCTTTTATGGAATCCATTGTACAGAGAAGTGAACAGATTAGAAAGCTTGATTATATGTCCAAGATGAGTCATTTTGTAAGTGGAGAGTCTAGAACTTCCTTGTTCATTACACAAGCCATTAAAATATGCTTAATCTGATCAGAGATGTGCCACACACCAGATTTAGAAGAAAATGTAAAATATCTCATTTTTATTTTATAGCTTACAAGTCTAAATAATACTCATTTGGATATATGGGATTAAATTTAGCACTTTATTTAAATTCACCTTTTCCATTTTTAACACAAACACTAGAGATTCTAAAGTCACATATGTGGCTCACATTTGTACTGTGTGATGTATTTCTTTAACATTTCTTGTTGGTTCTTAGATTTTCCATCTCTGCTGATACCGCCCATCTGTTTTTGCATACCATCTACTTTATCCATTGCAGCTCTTAGCATTAACTGCTTTATATTCTCTGTTGGATTATTTTATTTTATTTTATTTTAAATATTTATTTATTTATTTATTTATACAAGCACTGGGTACAGTCAGAAGCGCGGAAGGGTGAGAGAATTAACCAGAGCCAGAGCGGGGAACAGAACAAGCAGACTGACGAAATACACTGCCGAGGGGAGCAGTGGGCACATCAGGAGAGGTCTATCGTGCCATGTGGGACCCTTGCTGGCAGCTGGAGATCGAACTGGCGCTGTAGAGGCTGCGGGCAGCTTCGAAGCCCAGCGCTCAACCACTGCGCCACCAGGGGTGTCCCTGGATTATTTTAATATCCCTGTTGTGGCTGGTTCTGATGTCTGCTCTTTCTCTTCTCTTCAATTTGTCCTGGTTCTGATGTCTGCTCTTTCTCTTCTCTTCAATTTGTCCTTTTTTTTTTTTCTTTTTTGCCTTTTGGTAAGCCTTGTAATTTCTTTTTTTGTTGTTTTTTTAAATTTATTTATATATATTTTACACCATTGTTCATTTTTAGACTAGGTTTGCTTCCCTCCCCCGCTCAGGTGTAGTCTCCATAGAATTTCCTCCACCAATTCACCCTTTCAGCCTCACCACAGTCCCCTGTGCTCCTCCCTCCCTCCCTCTGATACCACTCCTTCCCCCTCCCCTGCAGGATGTCTCTGGTTTATAATTGTCTGTTTGTTTTTGTTTTGCTTTATATTGTGTAATTTCTTCTTGGTAGCTTGATTCTTGATGTAGCTGGTAAAAGAAAGCTTTGTAAATCAGCCTGAGTAATGTGATTGGGTAACGTCTATAGTCTGTGATTTGGTGCAGGTCTTCAGCGAGCCTGTGCCTCTGGACTGGGCCCTCACAAGAGTTTCTCAATGTTTCCCCTCCTCAGTGGCTCAGGGTGGCTAGAGGGCAGCAGTTGGATATTTCCCATCCCCCAGGTCAGTTAGGTTCTGCTAATTCCCCAGCAGGTTAGCCTCTGGTCAACCAGCTGCCCCTGAGGGCAGGCTTGGTAAGAACAGAGTGCTCGCTGTATTTCAAAATGGTCCCTTTCACCTTTCTTGCTGGGAACATTAGGAGATTTTTTTCTAGAATTTACTGTGGGAATCTGGTCAAGCATGTGGAGGTAAACATCAGAATATTGTGGGCCCTCTCTATGCCTAGGTCCCTTGGAGTTTTTCACATAGTTGTCCACACTGACCTTCCAGCAATTCATCAACTACCATTCAAATACCATGAAACCTAAAACAACTCAAAATATATGTTTATTTAGTAGTATCTCCTCATCCTTGTTTGTGCCCATGCCTACATCTTCAGCCTTGGGGACAGCAGTTTGCCCTGTGCCTCCCTTTCCCTTGTGGAGTCAAGAATTGTTGTGTTTTCAGCCTGTTCAGTTTTTCACTTGTTAGGATGGAGGGATAACTTCCAAGCTCTGGAAACTGAAATGCATTCAATTTATACTCGATATCTCAATGCAGAATTTGAAAGTAGCTCTTCTTTAGAAACAAAAGCTAAACAATTTCTCTAAGTCCTTTTACCAGTCTTTGTTTTTGAGATTAACTTATGCTTGAACAATACGAGGGGGGACCCTATAAGAATGGTGGGTGTTTTTCTATATGTTTAATTTATTTGTTGTAATCTGTTATGTGCTTAGTAAAATGAGATTTACAATTAAATGTAGTGGCTTAAAAACAAAAAAACAAACCAAACCAATCAGCAATAACAACAAACAAATCCCAAAGGGCTAAATTCTGTAGGAAACTTAACATCAAACCTCAAGTCATCTGTGCTTGATATTTAAACAGTTAAAAGAAAATAAATCTTTTTTCTTGCATAAATAAAACATCAAGAAGTTATACAACTGATTGTACTAAAAATCATCTAAGACTCATGATCTTTCAATGATGAGTAGATACACGGCGGAAGTTCACAGATGGATCAATAGGAGCATTGTTTTATTTGACTAACTAAACCAACAATGTCAGTGCTTTACATGAACAATTTCCTGTAAAGTATTCAAGAGTTTCCTATTACGGTGAACAATGTAAGTATCTGTTTTTTTCTTCCCTTTTCAGAGACCATTTATATACCTATAGTATATTGATCTCACTCAGCATTTTACATCCTCTTATGCTAGAAAAAGATCTACCATATTAGTAGGCCTGAATTTTTATACCAAAAATATCAAATTTACCATTCCCACAAACCTGGCCAAATTCTACTGCCTTTCAGAAACTACCATATTTATCATTTCTTCCAAGTGGCCATCTTGGTTTTTATTCTCATTTATTAATATAGCACACACAATTCTCTCTAAGAAACAGTGGTTTTCATGGGTCATACATTGTTGAATTCTGTCAGTTCTATAGAGTTCAACCTAATATTTTGTGCTAATTAACAATTGTGGTCATGAAAATACAAACATTATATAAGCCTCCCTTGGCAAAGCTCTTGATAAAATTGATGGTTATATATGTCAAATAACAGACATCCAACCAACTTGATTTTAAAGTTCTAGTTGGCATAACTGCATTGTGAATTGGGCAACATTCCCTCTAACAAGTAGACAGTCTCTCCAAAACACAAAATGGAAGGTTTTTATAGTTAGAAAGAGGATGGGATGACAAGGATGGTCCAACATCCAAAAAATCAATCAATGTAATCCAACACATCAACAAAAAGAAATATAAACACCATATGATAATATCAATAGATGCTGAGAAAGCTTTCAACAAAGTACAACATCCATTTATGATAAAGGCCCTTGAAATTCTCAGGATACAAGGGACATTCCTCAACATACCTTTTCATTAAGATCTGGAATAAGATAAGGATGTCCACTCTCATCACTACTTTTCAATATAATACTGGAAGTACTAGCCAGAGAAATAAGACAAGAGAAAGACATACAAGGAATCCAAAT